TGGCGAACCATTCGAGCGCGGCTCCTTCTAGGTTTTCGACGAAGAGGCGGCAGTAGCCTGCGTGTTTTTCGTGGTCCTTGAGCTTGGCTCGTCCCATGGTGATCTGGAATGCTTGTAGGTGCGCTTTGGGATCAGACGTCCCGTCGTAAGTCGGCACCTTCAGTTTTCCGGGATCGGGTAGTTTGATCTCGGTGATGCGGACCGTGAAGGGCGTTTTCCGAGACTCGTACAGTAGCCGATCAATCTCGGGTGCGGCGCTGGTAGCGTGGTGAATCTGAGATTTTATCGGTGGGATACTTAATCCAAGAGTCACACAGAAAAAGCAAATCGACTTCAAGGAGATGGTGAAACTGGCATGTCTCATGGCTGAAATGGCAAAAGAAGTTTGCTTCATCTCTCAAACTGAACCGAAAACCCTGCAAGAAGCCTTAGATGACGAGTTCTGGACAGCTTCAATGCACAAAGAAATGGAGCAGTTTGTGAGACTACAAGTGTGGGATTTAGTTCTGAGACCAGAGGGTGTGAATGTGGTTGGAACCAAGTGGATATACAAGATCAAGACTGACTAGAATGGTAATACAATCAGAAACAAATCAAGGCTGTTGGTCAAGGCTACTCACAGATCGAAGGAGTTGACTTCGATGAGACCTTTGCACCGGTGGCTCGCCTTGAGTCAATCAGACTTCTATTTGCCATAGCATGCAAACGCATAATCAAGCTGTATCAGATGGATGTCAAGAGTGTCTTTCTCAATGGACTACTACAAGAAGAGGTCTATGTGGCACAACCAAAAGGCTTTGAGGATCCACATTTTCCATATCATGTATATCGGCTGAAAATAGCACTCTATGGCCTGAAACAGGCTCCAAGGACATGGTATGAAAACTAGCACAGTTTCTAATCTCAGCAGGCTTCAACAAAGGAGGAGTTTACCAGACGCTTTTCACTCAACATGAAGAAGGAAATCTGCTTGTAGTGTAAGTATATGTAGACGTATCATCTTTGGAAGCACCTCAAAGGCATTGGTGGATGATTTTATGCAGACAATGAAAAAAGAATTTAAGATGAGTATGGTGGGAGAGCTCAACTACTTCCTTGGTTTACAAATAAGGCAAATGGAGGATGGAATCCTTGTCACACAAAGCACTTATGCTAAGAATTTTGTGAAATGATTTGGAATACAAACCAGCAAGACTGCCATGACTCCCATGAGCACCACAACGAAACTCTCTCGCGATGAGGTAGGTCAAAAGATAGATGAGAAGCTTTACAGAGCAATGATTGATAGTCTCCTCTATCTCACCAGTCGACCAGACCTATGCTTAAGTGTCGGAATATGTGCACGGTACCAATCTGCACCAAAAGAGTCACATTTAAAAGCGGTAAAACGTATCATCAAATATGTGAAAGGTACACTGGATATTTGTCTTCATTATACATTTGAGACTAATGTGAATATTGCAGGTAATTGTGATGCAGATTGGGCAGGTTGTGTTGACGATCGGAGAAGCACATCTGGAGGCTGTTTCTTCTTTGGCAATAATATGGTGTCTTGGCACAGCAAGAAACAAAACTGTGTGTCACTCTCTACTGCCGAGGCTGAGTACATTGCTCTAGGAAGTTGCTGCACTCAGCTTCTCTGGATGAGACAAATGCTTGTTGACTATGGTATTAACTCTGACCCCCTAATAGTTCATTGTGATAACATGAGTGCCATAAATTTGTCTAAAAATCATGTGCAACACTCTCATACTAAGCATGTTGATCTTAGACAACACTTTGTGCATGAGTTGGTTGAGTTAAACCTTGTGGTCATTGAGCATGTTTCTTCTGAGAATCAACTTGCTGGTATTTTTATAAAGCCTCTTGATTTTAATAGCTTTTTGGGTCTCCGAAAAGCTATTGGAATCGGTGATCTTCAGTAATGAAGTAAGCTGTTATGACGAGAAGATAAGTCCATGTAGAAATCTTGTGTGTTAGAGGTACCTTCTCCCTCAAAACCTTATAGTAACAATTTGTCTAGTGGAAGTCATGAAATCGTTTTATATGTTTTCACAATCTCACTGTCTCATGGTGAAGGACACTCATATTGGATCAGGATGCAAACACATTTTCAATCTGAGGACTGATCACTGTTTGGACTGGATGGAGGAAACACAGGCCGTGTCGTGTGTAACACACACAATAACATGTGTTACACAAAGGCCTCAAGTGATAGGTACTCGTTCTAGATCAGGGTGACACAACACTTTATCATCTGGTGACGATCACTACCTTGATTAGGCAGAGACATATTATCTCTTAAGAAATGAAATCAAGAAGAAGAATATCCATACAAAGGCCTGAAATGATAAGCACTTACTCCAGATCAAGGTACCACCATACTTTGAGTCTGGTGGTGATCACTCCTTGATTAGGTAGAAACTGAAATATGTTTCTGATGAAAAAGAAGAAAAAAACATAAAACATATATAAAAAAAGGGCATTAAAAAGATCCATTGTAGTTGTAGAGGTGGACAATGGCTGACTCGACAATGTTTTCAGAAAGTGTGTGGTTATTGTACTTGTGAGATGATGTCTTGATCTTTTCTCTAGGTAAATCCATTTGTGACAGCTACTCGGCTGAGAAACAACTACAAATTGGGGTTGCTATATTGAATTCTATTCGCCTTTTTTGATGGTTACCTTGACACATGATAGAGTATACTTGAAATTGCTATCTCGTTGGAACAGTAGTTAAGAGTGTGTAAATAGCTTCAAATTCAGTATGTAGTGTTCGTAATAAGTTCGGTTCTTAGAATAGACTTTCTTGATCAGACCATGAGATCTCATTATTCACTGTGACAAAATGTGTCTTGCTTGGGTGGTTGATGCTTTCAAGGTTAAAGTAGTTAAGGTTACTTAATTAAAAAGAGATCGATGAACTAATAGGATAAGAGACTGGCCTTTTAAACTCTATCAAACACACAGCCATGAGACCTAGAACACTTGACACCTATTCCTCCTCCTCATCATCATCTCTATCAATGATATGCACCGGTTCCTCTCCAACATATTTTCCCCCTGCTTGAGTGCATCATTAGAAAAAAAAATTGTTCGAAACAAAAATAAGAGGAGAAAGCACTTCTTCGTGCAATCCAGCTTAGAAGTCGAAGAAGTTCTTTCTACTCTTATTTCTGTTTCAAACAATTGTTTTTTCTAATCATGCGCTCAAGCAGGGGGAAAATATGTTGGAGAGGAACCGGCGCATATCATTGGTAGCGATGATGATGAGGAGGAGGAATAGGTGTCAAGTGTTCTAGGTGTCATGGCTGTGTGTTTGATAGAGTTCTAGATATTAGACTTTTCTGTTGTTTCATTTTTCATGTTTCAGTGTCTTTGAATTATCTAGGATGAGAACTTTCGAATGTGTGGATCGGATATCCTGTAATCTTGTTTTTATCTAGACCTTATCAATGAATGCTTTCGGAATTTGTTTCTTGGTATTTGATAAAATCTATGTATATGCTTCGTTGTTTGGTACTTTGGGTTGCATGATTTGTGACAGGTGCTTGAGGTGTCACATTAAGATAAAAAGGGGGATAATGTAAGCTCAGTGATTCTGAGCATGATAATTGGTGTGTTACGCAGAGAGGAGTTTGTATCACACACAAGATGAGCTCAAGGTTTGAGCGTGAGACATGATGTGTCACACATGTTAGTGAGTGTGTTACACATGGAGCTAAATATAAGGAAGTCGTATTTGAAGATAATGACCCAAGATTCTAGGAGGTTTGTTTGTTAACAAACGAGAAGATATTGGGAGGATTTCTACTTATCACAGTATGATACGAGTGAGTATATATTGGGATATATTTCATTAGCTAGGTTACGGTTTTAGGGATTTAATTATCATCGAGCTATAGAGTTTGTTCTAAGCTGTGATTCTGGTGTTAGCAATTGGTGAGGTTTGTCTCAATCATTGTGCTTTCGATATATTAAGAATTGGTCTGTCTCTAGTCAAGTTGTGACGTAGAGTAAATAGGATTAAACATAACTAGAGAAATTGCTTAAGTGAATATTAATAAAGCAAGTTAGTTTTCCTGCAATTCCTCATGTTTGTTCTATTGTCGTATCCATATGAAATTACAATATACAAAGGCTGGGTAGAGCTTAGAGAGACTATCAAGAGTTTTCATAAAGTTTGTTCTATTGTCCGTCTCTAGTCAAGTTTGTTCTATTGTCGTATTCATAAAGAAGCCTAGATTAATTCTCAAATGGATAGTGCAGCTAACAGATGAATTTTCACTCTAGATATTCATATAGATTGTAAGATAGATTTGTATCATGTGGTTGTAAGGTAAAATATATTGAGGTACCTTTAAAAGCAAATTTCTTAATAATTCAAAAGTACACCTACCACGAGACTGCCACCTTATGGTTAACAGTCTCTCAAAGTTACTTATAACCAATTTCTATAATCAATATATCAACATTTCTCTTCTTTAATCTCTGTTCTTCAAGATCATTGATCGTATCAAAAACAAGCTTAAAATTAGGGCAATAGATGCAATGGCAAAGGTAAAGGCTTATGAAAGAGTCAGATTAAACTAAATGCCATAGAAATAACAAGGAGCACATGACAAGTGTACCATCTACAACTGAAAGATAAGAAAAGGGAGAATGAGAATAAGAGACATAAAAGTGGGAATCGGAAGGACCTGAGTTCAATATCGAATGTCAAGCTTGCTACTCTCTTATTATTGCAAGGAGGTAGATTATGAGGTGATGAAAGGGATGGAATTAGTAAATAAGCAGAAGAAAGATGATGGAGTTTATGTTGTTTGGAAAAAAATACTATTATATTTTAGGGAGGGACTGGGCTTGTCTGCATTGGCTCCAAGGTCATATGGAATTTTCTGGGACTCCTATTGGGGTTCGGGTTTGCTAGTGAATTCGATAGCCCGCTACTGTCTTAATGCCGCAAGGCTAACGAAAATGGGTAAAGAGTGTTAAGAACTCCGGTATGGATTTTTACTTAGTATGCCAATCCAGAAAAAGACACAACAGAAGATAATATTAACAAACAAAATAAAACAAGACAAGTTACAAACGAGTTCGTTAGCTAATTAGAGCTTGTAGTTTGGGTCAAATATCACATGTATACTTCCATCCCAAGAAACTTGGAAGATTGACACAAAGGACAAGAGCTAAGCTTCCTCTCACACTCCTTACACAAACACATATGCTTACACGGCAACAACAACATACACACCTCTCTCCCTCCACAAAACCTGCACATCATCATTGTCGCCTTACCATTTAAATAAGACGCTGTGTCATCTAATTCGCTGTCTCCACATCCTTCCATGCTCTCTCTTGGCCGACCGTGAGCTTGTTCAAGATTGTAGTTGAGTGCAGCGATCATGTTCTCGCTATAGTTCGCACGTTGTTGCCATGCCTCGGCTTCTAGTGTCAGCTGCTCAATTCGCATCTCGAGTTCCTTGTTCTTTCGGTTTATCATCTCGAGTTCCTTGTCTTTCTCACGGAGTTTCTGGACCACTCTTTCCTCCATGAGTGACACAGTTTTATGCTGACTCGTCTGGATCTTCTCGAGGATAGCATGCCGTAATTGGTCTTCCTGTTGAAGATACAGAGAATCAAAGCCACAATTTAAAGAAAAAACAAACCAATTCATCTTCTTCATACATCAAAGCCACAATTCAATCAGATCAAGTTTAATCAAACCTGTAACAAACTATCCTAAGAGCAACAAATACAGACGACCTAACTTGATCAAACAAGATCCACTTCATACAAAGACACAAGAAGGTGACCTATTCAGACATATCGAGTTTGATCAAACCAGTAACAAACTGTCATAAGAGCATCAAACTCACCTGAAACTTAAGAAAGCGATGAATTTCTGCATCCTGCCTCTGTAACTCTCGATCAACATCGTCTCCGACGAGAGACAACAAAGCAGAGCCATTAGCATTGTCAAGGGAGAGACCCAAACCGGTTGAGACAGACCGGCCTTGCCAAAAATCAGTTGAAGATATCTGAGAATTGTTTTCCATGAAATCCATTTCCTTTAGTCTCTTTCGACCATAGCTACTGTTCCACTCGAAGTCACCACCAACAGTAGAATCATCGGTTTGCATAACCGGTCCAGGTGCAAAACCGGGAACGTGGACTGATTAATTCAAAGGTAAGAAAACAGACTTAAGAGTTTAGAGCTTAAGATGTTGAGAAACCTAAATTAAAGAAAGAGGGATTCAGGTGAGATTACAAGGAGGAATATATGGAGGATGCTGAGATTGATCATGGAGATTCGCGGAGCTGTCGAACCCTAAAACTGAAATCTGGCCGTCGATCCCGCAAAAGTCTCTGGCGAAAATTAGGGTTTTATTGTTAAGAAACTTTGCAGGATTGGGGCTTTTTATCAAGAAGTCTCAAAAAAAATAGAAAAGAAAAAAAGAGAGAAGAGATTGCTTACTTGAAAGTCTTGGGGTCTTGTAGGTGAGGATCGAAATGGTGAGGAAGAGCCATGGCGAGAGAAAGAAAAGGGAGAGAAGGAAACGGAGAAGGAGACGGATTTCTTGGCTTCTCAAATTGAAAACTCGGAAGACTTGTATTTACGATCAGCTCCTCATGTTTCTCTCGATCTTCGTTTTTCACCTCGTTACTTTGGTTAGGTACATTATCTTTCGTCTTATGTTCTTACACAATTAAACTTTAGCCTAGTTTTTGTTCAACACGCACAGCCTACAATTCGAATAATTTTAAATAAAATTATTTGGCATATTCAGAATTTTGAATGATTTTACATAGAACAGAAATCTGTTTTAAATTATGTTTTTTGAATAGATTATATATACTTAATCATATTTTAGCTATAAATATTTATTCGATTTCAGTTTGATTTAAACTCAATTCAAAAAAACTTTCAATAACAAACAGAAATAGTTTAGACATTTATGATTTTTTCCAATTAAAATTGATTAACCATATAGTTAAAAGATGATAAAAATATATAGACAGTACATATGAAAATAAAAGACAACAAAGATAATGATAATGGCCAAAAGATATCAACAAATCAATTGAGATAAATTGCGATGATAGTTTTCTTCTAACGTCATTTTTTTATCGATAGAGCGTCAATGTTAGAGTATATACGGTTTAGATATGAAAATATTATATTTAGGGACGGTTTTATGTTTTTTATAACATAAAAAGATAGTTTGTTATACATAGATATTTTTTCCTAACAACAAGCCTTGACGTTAACTACCTAGTTCTATTATAACTAATAGGAGACTTAACTATATATTGTTATTGGTGGGAATAATTCTCTACCACACATCTAACTTTCTAATGAACGGTCTAGATTGTGATATGATTTCAATGACAAGATATTTATCTGTCTCTTATCCCAGCCGTTGGATCCTTTTACATACATTACAAATCGACGGTATAGATTTAATTTCGTTCTTAAAGTCAACTTCATCTCCTCCTTTCTTTGTTTTTTCCAGAGTTGATCTTAGAGCTTATCCTTTTTGTCTAGCTTATCCTTTTTGTCTCATAGCTGATTATTGTTCGCAAAGAAAAAGATTTGTTTTCTAATACACAAATTATAACCCAAAAGATAGTTTTTTTAAACTCATTATTGTTTTATTTCTGCAGATTCATCATAAATATCCATATCATGGTTATCTCTGGAGAATGGACCTTCGGAGAGTTTGTTTGGAGTTTTGTGAACGACAAGAAGAAGATGTTAAGGGTTGTACCCCTTCGTGTAGGGATGGCGTTGACTGAGTTACAAAACAATGTCGGGAAAGAGTTCTTCACTTTCACCGACTCTTCTCCTCCGACGGTCTTGAGTTATTGGCCCCCAAACACCCAAGAGCTTGCCACCGGAATTACCACACCTCCGGTTATACTGGCAAACGATGGCGATATATCCTTCTTCTTCAGTCACTTAGCTCACCCAAGCATGAACTTGTTCATTGTTTTAGTATGTACGTTGTTCAACCATGTACCAGTAACATTGTACACTTTTGTTTTTCCCGACCTAAACGTCCACACCATGTACACGACACAACATCTGCATGTACTTGTACAAAAACTTTTAGGTACACTCACTTCATACATACATGTACAAATACCATGTCCATAGATTATCTATAGTTATGTTCATGATTCAACCATGTACACTACCATTATACATATTTGTTTTTATTATGTCAACATGTACATTATACACATGTACACGTACTTGTCCAAGAACTTGTATCTACACTCACTTCATACGTACATGTACATGGTTCAACATCTACATTTACTTGTACACGAACTTTTATGTATACTCACTTCATACATCCATTTACAAATACCATGTCCACAGTTTAGATTTCGTTATGTACAAGATTCAACCATGTACACTACTGTTGTACATAAATGATTCCATTAAATATATGTACACATGTATATTCAAACTTTAAACTTTCTTATATTGTACATACTTAACATGGTGGAATATGTTCTTACTAATGATGTTTAAATAACTCGTGTACATGTGTACATTCTAACTGATGTTGATGTCCATTAAGATATACACGTGTACATTCAGACCAATCGTTAAAACTTTCTTATACTGTACATACTTAACATGGTTGTAATATGTTCTTACTGATGATATTCAAATTATCTGTGTACATGTTTTTTGAGTGTACAATTTAGACTATCAGATCTATTAGTGATGTTTGCTAAAATGGTGTACTTCAGTTTATGGGTTCATCTGATATTTTGTAATATTTCAGAACATGTAACTTAATATGATGTTTAAGTGTACATGAACTTTATACGATATCCATGTGTATTTAACTTTTTATGATATCTATGTTGTACATGTATATTGTGTACATTAATTTTATGATATTTCTGTGTAACATCAATTTTATACAATTTTCATATGTACATCATTAACTTGTAAAGATCCATTACTAAAATGCATAAGGTTATATGAAGTGTTGTTAAAATGAAAACAAAAAAGATTAATAAAGTAAAATCATCATACATATAATTTTGTGCTTCAAATACATGAAGATCTATGACTCTTGTCCATGAACAAAAAAAACATCTGTATTCTCAAGATGAGACCATCAACGTCGTAGCCATCCTCCTTGTCTCCCTACAGTCCATCATACTCCTTGATTCAAGATAAGATTGTATAGTCAGTTCCGAGCCTGCAACCATTGGAACATGAAAAACCAAAAACGAAATCAATACACACCTCCACTGAAAACTATATAGACATGTAACTAGGTCATTAGTTGTACATATATACACTTACGTTCCCAATGTACACATGTACATTAGGTATACATTTACGTTACTAAAGTACACATGTACATCACATGTTATATGTACAACCTTAAACGGTATAAGTGTACATCTAGTTACCTAAGGATTATGCTCATCATCTAGCACCTCCGCCAAGAAATTACACCTCACCGGTAACCTAAAAAGCTGTCCAAAGCAAGAATGTCGATTTTGTAAGAAGCCACGATTCAAACCGCAAGGTCGAGGGCGCAATAGGGTACCGTACCAAAGGATGTGGTACCTACCAATTACAGACAGATTGAAAAGATTGTACCAATCTGAGGAGACTTCTGGAGGGATGAGATGGCACACCGAGCATATTCAGACGGATGGAGAGATGACTCATCCATCAGATGCAAGAGCCTGGAAACATTTTAACAATATACATCCACATTTCTCTAGAAATAGCCGGAATGTGTATCTTGGATTATGCATTGATGGATTTAGTCCATTTGGAATGTCTGGGAGACAATATTCATTGTGGCCGGTCTTTCTTACACCGTATAACCTGCCACTGGAGATGTGCATGCGACGAGAGTTTCTATTCATGAGCATATTAATACCTGGTCCAAAACATCCAAAAAGATCTCTCAACGTTTTTCTACAACCACTGATAAAAGAGTTGAAAGATTTGTGGTCAACAGGGGTGATGACATATGATTGTTCAACGAAAACAAACTTTACGATGCGAGCGATGCTTTTGTGGACCATAAGTGACTTTCCTGCATATGGCATGTTGTCTGGGTGGACTACACATGGGAGATTAGCTTGTCCATATTGTAATGGAATGACAGATGCGGTTCAGTTGAAGCATGGTAGGAAGACTAGTTGGTTCGATTGTTACCGTCGATTTCTTCCCATCCACCACCCATACCGAAGAAACAAGAAATTGTTCAGGCACAAAAGGGTTGTCAGAGACACTCCTCCTCCATATTTAACTCGAGAAAAAATCGAAGCACAAATCGATTACTACTGTGCCTGATTTTTATGGTGTTCAGCACAATTGACATAAAAAGAGTATATTTTGGGAATTGCCATATTGGAAAGATCTTCTTTTGCACCACAATCTCGATGTGATGCATATAGAGAAGAAATTTTTTGAGAACATCATGAACACTATATTGAACGTCCCAGGGAAGACGAAAGACAACGTAAAATCGAGGTTAGACTTACCCGATATCTGCTCAAGGAGTGAGCTACATATAAAAAGCAATGGGCAAGTTCCAGTTCCAATATTCAGGCTGTCATCAGATAAAAAGTCTGCGTTGTTCAACTGGGTGGCTTCATAAGTGAAGTTCCCTGATGGGTATGTTTCAAATCTCTCAAGATGTGTTGAGAAAGGGCAAAAGTTCTCCGAGATGAAAAGCCATGATTGTCATGTCTTCATGCAGCGACTACTTCCCTTTGCGTTTGCGGAGCTACTACCGGCAAAAGTACATGAAGCACTTTCAGGTAATTAATTAATATAATACGAGGATATGATTATACATATATATATACTAATGTGATTAATGTTTGTTTTTGTAAATATACTAATGTGGATAATTTTCCACCTCCCATATGAGGCATTACTTCGTGGACCTGTGCATTATGAATGGATGTATCAGTATGAAAGGGCCATGAAAACTTTGAAAGGAAAAGCCAAAAACCTAGCAAGAGTTGAAGGTTCTATTGTTGCGGGAAGTTTGATGGAAGAAACATCACATTTCACATCGTACTATTTTGCACCGAAACTACGTACAAGAAAACGAGCTCCAAGAAGATATGATGATGGTGGTGTCGTGCTGACATATATGGAAGACGATGTTCCAGACATCTTTTGCCAAATTGGGCGATTGGGTGGGAAATTGAAAGAGGTTTGGTGGTCGAGTGTTGAAGACGTCCATAGTGCACACCTTTATATTCTTCTTAATTGCGAGCATCAATTGATTGCTTATTTTGAAAGGTAAATATATAAACGTACACACTTATATATATATACATATACTTTCAATATTAAATATATAACATAACATATATGATTTTACAGCCAATTTGTGACTCAAGTCGAGGAAGCAATACCTGGTATATCGACACCTGAGTTAGACAAAAGGAAAGATCAACACTTTATCAAGTGGTTGAGGAAACATATATTTATTATTACTTAAATTTTATGCATACATTCTCACAAAGTAAGTATAATATGTCTAGTTATATTACTTTTTGTTGCAGGTTGATTATGAAGATCCTCAGTTTCCCGCATGGTTTCGCGAATTGCT